CTCTTGGAGAGAAGCCTTAAGTAATTTTTTTGTGTACATTTCTTGTAACCCTTAATTATGGCCAGTAGTATATTTAGGGAGTCTTTCCTGACTACCTCACCACCACATCAGCAAAACAAAAAAATAAAACTGGGTATGTTAATTAGGACTTTGTCAGTTGCAGGCAGTAGAAACCCAATTCTAACTGGTTAAGCAAAGAGAGAGAGAGAGAGAGATTATTTGCTTAAGAAAATTGAAGTCCAGTGATGGACAAGGTGATACAGGCAAGATTGTATCCGGGTATTTAGTCAGTATTATGAGCAATCTGTCTTTCTTCCTGTCTAAGCTCTGCCTTCTGTATGTTTGGTTCTTTCTCAGGAAGGTTCTCCCCAAGAGTTTGGAAAGATGGCCACCAGCAACTCCAAACTTATAGTCTACCAGCTTAAAATTTTTAGAGGGAAGAGAAATAGTTTTAAGTGAAGTCTCGTTTCAGCAAAATCATATTTTAATTGGACTATCTCTAAATAAATCACTAGGACCAGGGAATGGCTGGAATATCTTGTACCTTCCCACAGACTGGAGTGAAGAGTAGACAACCTGTCTCAAATCACATGGACTGAGAGTAGGGGGAGAGGACATTCCACAGAGGAAAACCAAAAGAAGAGATCCTCATCAAGTAAAAGCCACAGATGTCCACAACACTGGACTATGTACCCTTCCTGGGTCACTTCCATGGAACTTTATTGGAATGCTGAGTTGTAATTGACTGTTTACTTGTAATATAGGCTCTGTATAAGCAGGGCTGTGTCTTGTTCACAGTTACATCCCCAGGGTTATTCAGAAGATCTTGCACATAAAAGGCTCTCAGTAATGAATAAATATTTCTTTTTTTGTTGTTTTGGGTTTTTTTGAGGAAGATTGGCCCTGAGCTAACATTTGTTTCTAGTCGTCCTCTTTTTTTCTCCCCAAAGCCCCAGTGCCATAGTTGTATATGCTAGTTGTAGGTTCTTCTAGTTCCTCTCTGTGGGTTGTCACCTCAGCATGGCTTGATGAGCAGTGAGTAGGTCCACACCCAGGATCCGAACTGGCGAACCCTGGGCCACCAAAGCGGAATGTGCGAACTTAACCGCTACACCTCTGGGCCAGCCTCTGAATAAATATTTCACATTCCTTCCTTTCCCCATCATCTTCCTATTTTCAGAGACAGTGTTTCCAGTGGGTCCTGCAGGGATTACACTATGCCTCACACAAAGGGAGCTCAACAAATATTTCTTGAAGTGAAGTGAATATTAAGACCCTGATAAGTAAGTGTTAGCCTTTATTGTTGCCCACAGCCCCAGCGGTCAGAAGGATGTGGGACTTACATCAAAACCTACTAAGTTCCTTTTGCCTTTTCCTCATCTTTCTCTAAATCTCTGTTACTCTCCTTTTGTCTGTCTTAAACTTATGCTTCTCCCTGTCTCTTCGTCTACCTGTTCTTGTCTGTTCCTGTGGCTTTTCTTTCTGTGGGGTTTCCTTCCTCCCTCCCTCCCTTGCTCCCTCCCTTCTTTGCAAAAATGATACTCATGTGGTTTCTCTCCCTTCTTCAATGTCTTATTCTTTTACTTCTCACCTTCTCTTCTCTCCTTTCACTACTCTTAATACAGTAATGGAATTTTTATATTAATTATTGACTGTATATATTTATTATTCTTAATTTTCAAGGCTAGGAAATAAAACATTTTAAATTCCCCTGTCCAAAAATAAGTAGTCCTTGTGAATTAGTGACTGCTAAAAGGAAATAGATACTCTGTAACATAGAAAACCCTGTCATCTTTCTAGAATTGGTTTTGTAATAAATAATGAGAATTTAATAAAATATTTCTAGGACATAACTGTACACAGAGGAAACTAGTATAAAGTTATTGGAGCCTACTGCTTGAACTGTAAGATCAAGTAAAAGATAAAATTGGTTTTAAGCAAAGAACAAGATTTAAGGTTTAAAAATGGATTATTCCCAGGGCCGGGCTGGTGGTTGTAGTGGTTAAGTTCGCGTGCTCTGTGTTGGTGGCCGGGAGCTTGCAGGTTTGGATCCTGGGTGTGGAGCTACACACCACTCATCAAGCCAAGCTGTGGCCGTGTCCCACATACAAAATAGAGGGAGATTGGCATGGATGTTAGCTCGGGAACAGTCTTCCTCAAGCAAAAAGATGAGGAGTGGCGACAGATGTTAGCTGAGGGCCAATCTTCCTCACCAGAAAAAAAAAATTGATTATTTCCTTTTTTTCTTGAAAACTAGAAAGGTTTTATCTTTTATTTAAAAAAATTTTTTTTAATTATTTTATTGAGGTCATATAGGTTTATAACATTGTGTAATTCCTGGTGTACGTTATTATATGTCAGTTTCTGTATAGACTACATCTTGCGTACCACCAATAGTCTAGTGTTTTTTTTTTGCAATTTTTAAAAATTTTTATTGATGTCATAATAGATTATAACATTGTGAGATTCCAGTTGTACATTATTATTTGTCAGTCACCATATAAATGCGCCCCTTCATCCGTTCCCCCTGGTAACCACCAAACTGTTCTCCCTGTTCATGTGTTAGTTTATATTCCATATATGAGTGAAGTCATACAGTGTTTGTCTTTCTCTGTCTGGCTTATTTCACTTAACATAATACCCTCCAGGTCCATCCATGTTGTTGCAAATGGGATGATTTTGTCTTTTTTATGGCTGAGTAGTGTTCCATTGTATATATATATACCACATTGTCTTTATCCAGTCCATCAGTTGATGGGCACTTGGGTTGCTTCCACTTCTTGGCTATAGTAATAATGCTGCAGTGAACATAGGGGTGCATAAGCCTCTTTGGACTGTTGATTTCAAGTTCTTTGGATAAATACTCAGAAGTGGGATAGCTGGATCATAAGGTATTTCTATTTTTAATTTTTTGAGAAATCTCCATACTGTTTTCCATAGAGGGTGCACCAGTTTGCATTCCCACCAGCAATGAATGAGGGTTCCCTTTTCTCTGCATCCTTTCCAACATTTGTTATTTTTTGTCTTGGTGATTATAGCCATTCTCAGGGGTGTAAGGTGATATCTTAGTGTAGTTTTGATTTGCATTTCCCTGATGATTAGTGATGTTGAACATCTTTTCATATGCCTATTGGCCATCTGTATATCTTGGAAAAATGTCTGTTCATATCCTCTGCCCATGTTCTGATTGGGTTATTTGTTTCTTTGTTGTTTAGTTGTGTGAGTTCTTTATATCTTATGGAGATTAATCCCTTGTCGGACATATGATTTGCAAATACCTTCTCCCAGCTTATGGGTTGTCTTTTCATTTTGATCCTGGTTTCTTTCCTTTGCCTTGCAGAAGCTCTTTAATCTGATGAAGTCCCACTGGTTTATTTTTTCTTTTGTTTCCCTTGCCCAAGTTGACATGGAATTCAAAAAGATCCCTCTAAGACCAATGTCAAAAAGTGTTCTGCCTATATTTTCTTCTAGGGGTTTTATAGTTTCAGGTCTTACCTTCAAGTCTTTTATCCATTTTGAGTTAATTTTTGTGTATGGTGTAAGATAACGGTCTACTTTCATTCTTTTGCATGTGGCTGTCCAGTTTTCCCAGCACCATTTATTAAAAAGACTTTCCTTTTTCCATTCTATGTTCTTAGCTCCTTTGTCAAAGATTAGCTGTCCATATATGTGTGGTTTTATTTCTGGACTTTCAGTTCTGTTCCATTGATCTCTATGTCTGTTTTTGTACCAGTACCATGCTGTTTTGATTATTATAGTTTTGTAGTATATTTTGAAGTAAGGGATTGTGATGCCTCCAGCTTTGTTCTTTTTTCTCAGGATTGCTTTAGCTATTCAGGATCTTTTATTGCTCCATATGAATTTGAGGATTCTTTGTTCTATTTCTGTGGAGAATGTCATTGAGATTCTGATTGGGATTGCATTGAATCTGTAGATTGCTTTAGGTAGTATAGACATTTTAACTAAGTTTATTCTTCCAATCCATGTGCATGGGATATCTTTCCATTTCTTTATGTCATCATCAATTTCTTTCAATATTGTCTTACAGTTTTCATTGTATAGGTCTTTCACCTCCTTGGTTAAATTTATTCCTAGATATTTTATTCTTTTTGTTGCGATTGTAAGTGGGATTGTATTCTTGAGTTCTCTTTCTGTTATTTCATTATTAGAGTATAAAAATGAAATGGATTTTTGTACATTGATTTTGTACCCTGCAACTTTGCTGTAGTTATGGATTATTTCTAATAGTTTTCTGATGGATTCTTTAGAGTTTTCTACATATAAAATCATGTCATCTGCAAACAGTGAAAGTTTCACTTCTTCTTTGCCTATTTGGATTCTTTTTATTTCTTTTTCTTGCCTAATTGCTCTGGCCAGACCTCCAGTACTGTGTTGAATAAGAGTGGTGAGAGTGGCCACCCATGTCTTGTTACTGTTCTCAGAGGGATGGCTTTCAGTTTTTCCCCATTGAGTATGATGTTGGCTGTGGGTTTGTCATATATGGCCCAATAGTCTAGTTTTTATCCATCACCATACATATGTGCCCCTTTACCCCTTTCACCCACTCCCCTACCCCCTTCCCCTCTGGTAACAACTAATCTGTTCTCTTTATCCATGTGTTTGTTTATCTTCCACAAATGAGTAAAATTATACGCTGTTTGTCTTTCTCTGTCTGGCTTATTTTGCTTAACATAATACCCTCAAGGTCCATGCATGTTGTTGCAAATGGGACAATTTTGTCTTTTTTATGGCTGAATAGTATTCCATTGAATATATATACCACATCGTCTTTATCCAGTCATCAGTTGATGGGCACTTGGGTGGCTTCCATGTCTTGGCTCTTGTGAATAATGCTGCAATGAACATAGGGGTGCATAAATCTCTTTGTATTGTTGATTTCAAGTTCTTTGGATAAATATCCAGTAGTGGGATAGCTGGATCATCTGGTATTTCTATTTTTAAGTTTTTGAGAAATCTAAAAAGGATTTTATCTTTGACAGTGAAATTCATGAGGACTCCTTGAAGGCCATTCTGTTGGAGTTAGAATGTCACTTTACATGGAATTTACTTAAAGAAGACATTGATCTGTGTGAAGTGGAAGACACAATTGGGCAACAGCTTAAATTTCTTACCACAAAATCCAGACTTACTCTTTATAACCTATTGGCCTATGTGAAACACCTAAAAGGCCAAAATAAAGATGCCCTAGAGTGCTTGGAACAAGCAGAAGAAATAATCCAGCAAGAACACTCAGACAAAGAAGAAGTACGAAGTCTGGTCACTTGGGGAAACTATGCCTGGGTGTATTATCACATGGACCAGCTTAAAGAAGCTCAGATGTATATAGACAGGGTAGGGACTGTCTGCAAGAAATTGTCCAGTCCTTCCAACTACAAATTGGAGTGTCCTGAGATTGACTGTGAGAAAGGGTGGGCGCTCTTGAAATTTGGAGGAAAGTATTTCCAAAAGGCTAAAGCAGCTTTTGAGAAGGCTCTGGAAGCGGAACCTGACAATCCAGAATTTAACATTGGCTATGCCATCACGGTGTATCGGCTGGATGATTCTGACAGAGAAGGGTCTGTAAAGAGCTTTTCTCTGGGCCCTCTGAGGAAGGCTGTTACTCTGAACCCAGACAACACCTACATTAAAGTTTTTCTGGCACTGAAGCTTCAAGATGTACATGCAGAAGCTGAAGGGGAAAAGTATATTGAAGAAATCCTGGACCAGATATCATCCCAACCTTATGTCCTTCGTTATGCAGCCAAATTCTACAGGAGAAAAAATTCCTGGGACAAAGCTCTTGAACTTTTGAAAAAGGCCTTGGAGGCGACACCAACCTCTTCTTTCCTGCATCACCAAATGGGACTTTGCTATAGGGCACAAATGGTCCACATCAAGAAGGCCGCTCGCAACAGACCTAGAGGAAGGGATAAACTGAAAGTTGATGAGCTGATTACATCTGCCATATCTCATTTTGAAATAGCTGTGGAGCGAGACTCTATGTTTGCGTTTGCCTACACGGACCTGGCCAACATGTATGCTGAGGGAGGTCAGTATAACAAAGCTGAAGAGATTTTCCAGAAAGCCCTTCGTCTGGAGAACATAACTGATGATCACAAACATCAGATCCACTACCAGTATGGCCGCTTTCAGGAATTTCACCGTAAATCAGAAAATACTGCCATCCACCATTATTTAGAAGCCTTAAAAGTCAAAGACAGGTCATCGCTACGCACCAAACTGACAAGTGCTCTGAAGAAATTGGCTGCCAAGAGACTTGGTCACAATGCTTCAGATGTGCAGAGTTTAAGTGCCCTAGGGTTTGTTTACAAGCTGGAGGGAGAAAAGAGGCAAGCTGCTGAGTACTATGAGAGGGCCCAAAAGATAGATCCAGAAAATGCAGAATTCCTTACTGCTCTCTGTGAGCTTCGACTTTCCATTTAAATACATACTCTAGGAAATTAATGGTAAGCTTTTCTCTCCATTTGAGTTCTTATATTTTTGTTTATTGTTTTAATCCATTGTTCATTGTAGAGCCAATATTATTGAATGGTCATTATGCACCAGGCATTATGCTAAATACTTTATATACATTATTATGGATCTTTTGCTATTTTCTATTTTAATTAAAATATTGTAATCCATTGAGAAATAGCAACCTTCTAGCTGTTGTAATTTTTTTTTTTTTTTTTTAAAGATTTTATTTATTCAGCTTTTTCCCCCCAAAGCCCCAGTAGACAGTTGTATGTCATAGGTTCACATCCTTCTAGTTGCTGTACGCGGGACTCGGCCTCACGTTGGACGGAGAAGTGGTGCCTCTGGGCGCTCCCGGGATCCGAACCCGGGCCGCCAGCATCAGAGCGCGCGCACTTAACCGCCAAGCCACAGAGCCGACCCCTGTTGTAATTTTTTTAAATGGTATGGCCGTTGTGACTTTATACACTTTATCTCTGCTACTTATAATTTCTGATTAAATTTTGTCACATTCCCATATTATTCATTCATGCAGTGAATATAATCCTACATAAGCCTTTGAACCTAGGTCAGGAACACTCTTTCAGGAATATAAGATTAGTTAAGCTCTTAACTATGCAGCTTGCAAAACATGGAACCTTCCAGTTACAGATGTTCTGACTTTGATGAGGATGTTTAACCATCAACCTGATAGTCACCTAAAGAATCCTCTTTGTTGAAAGAAAGAAGTTGATAATAATAAGTTTGTCATCTCTGCTGACTTCAATAAAAGGAGACAAACTAGAGCATGAGAAAAAAGATTTCCTCAAATGCAGAACTTTAGGGACCCATCAGAAATCTGAAGTATTATATCCCAAAATGTTCATTGACTATCTAGAAAGTTATGAGAAAAAAATGAATAATAAAAAATCATTAGTCTCAAGTTTCTCTGGTTCTTTTAACTAGAAGAATAAACCTAGTTGAATAAAGAAGAATAAAGAAGAATAAACCAACTGAATCTAGTTGGAATTAATTTTATTCCTTCCAATTAACATTGCAGTATTTTTATGTGAAAATCATTGAGATAGAAAGCAGATCAATTGAGAAACTGGGCGAAATGATGAACAAATGGGTCAAGTAGATGTCCCTAACCAAATCCTAGATTGCCAAGATTTCAGGTATTTAGTTTTGGGTTTGGACTGGGTAGAGTTCTCATACTCCCAATTTCTGGCCTTTGGTTAACTGTTTTAGTATTCCAGAGTTACTTCTTGGAAGCTTTTTCTTTTGTCTGATGTTTTCAGATTGATATGTTTTCTTGTAGATCCTCCAGGAATAGTTAAGCCTTGCTTTCAGTTTTAATATCCACCTTGAAGAGTCACTGGTTAAGAGCTCTTATCCCAGGAGACTTTTTAAATTGGAATGTTACTAAAAGTGGCTTCTCTAATGTTTCTTTGATTATAGACTACACAATTATATTTACCACCACAGTATTAGTGGAAAAGTGTGCCATGTGATTTAATTCTTCATACTGCCAGTGTAGCTCTTAAAACTATTATGTATGTATGTGTGTGTTTTTTACTTTTCATTACTATTTTTTTATTTTTTACATTTAGATTATGGTTTTAATTATTATAAAAGTAATGAATTCTCATTGTAAAATTTTAAGTATACAGCAGTATATAAATTTAAAGGTGAGAGCACTCCCCTCACCCTACCCCAGTTCCCCACCCCCAACATAAACTGTTGACAATTTGATATGTATCCTTCCAGATATTTTTTCTATGCATATGCAAACATACATGTATACTGCAGTGTATCTCATGAATTAAATTCTTTTAAATGTTAGTTTTACTTAAGTTTCTGCTGTTTTTGTTTATTTTGCTCATTTCATTTGTTTATTCAACAAGGAAGAACAGAGAAGGGAATGATCTTTACTCAACTATTTCAGAAAGTTAGGACTGAAGGGAGAAGTGTCAGTAGAAGCATTTGTCCCATTTTGCAGCAAATATTTTATTTTGCAGCAAGTCATTATCTCCCATTGGGAATAATGTAATTAAGATTATGTTCCCAAGTAGAGACTTCACATGCAATGAAATACAGTTATATCAATTCAAAGATACAACTATAAGCCTCTATATTTAAATATTAGACTTTAAGGTCTATTAAATAACTTTAAAAATCACTAGATATTAAAACCTTGAAATACAAAGAAGTAACATACTAAGAAAGTATAAAATTAGCATGTGAAAAATACAACTATAAAGGTTGAACTAAATATGTTTATAATAACTTTAAATTTGGTCAATAATTGTGCTTTCCTTCCTAAAATTTATAATTATTTAGAGTTAATTTCATAGACTTTTGTTTTAAAGAAGATCTCAGAGTTCACCTTTATCAATTAACCATCAAAACTGAGGTTTGATGGCCAGCCCTGGTGGCCTACAGGTTAAGTTCGGCGTGCTCTGCTTCAGCAGCCTGGGTTCCGTTCTTGGACACAGACCTACACCACTGGTCAGTGGCCATGCTGTGGCAGTGGCTCACATACAAAATAGAGGAAGATTTGCCACAGATGTTAGCTCAGGGCAAATGGTCCTCAAGCCAAAAGAGGAGCATTGGCGACAGATGTTAGCTCAGGATGCATCTTCCTCAGCAAAAAAAAAAACAAAAAACAACTGAGGTTTGAGTAATCTTCCTAAGTGATAATTTCATCTTCAGATAGTCCTTATTCTTAGAAATTTGTTTCTTCCATTTAACTGAAGACTTTTGACCTGAAGTTTATAGATTTTCAACTGTCATTAAGAAAGTCAAAGATCCAGTCCTTTTCAGAGGTGACATTTTGTATTAGTTAGAACTCTTGATGCAAATGGCAGAAAACCCAGCTCAAATTGACCTAAGCAAAAATGGGAATGTAATGGCTGATATAATTTAATAGTTCAGGAGCAGCACTAGTTTCAGATAAATATGAAAGGACAAATGAGTTGCCCAATACATATCAGTGGCTACTAATGAAAGTCAAGTGATGCCGAGTAGCCAAAAACCAAATGTCTACTACACGTCTTAAAGTATTTGAAGACAATTGCCGTATGTCTCCTGAGACTGCTTTAAGTCTAACATGCCATTTCCTTTCACCCATCCCCATAAGACATATTGAAGTCTCCTCCCCATTGTGGTTAATTTGAATTTTCTCCAAATGTTCTTTATCCTTTGCTAATGGTTTGTGCTCAGGGTTTAACTTATTACTTAAAGTGAGGTTTTAGGACTGTGGTAGAATGATCCCTTCTTTTTACTTCTATTAATGTAGCCTATCAAATTATCCACTTGGTATCTACATATGTGTAAGTTTTTCTGTACATGCCATTTTTTGTGTGTGTGTGAGGAAGATCAGCCCTGAGCTAACATCCATGCTAATCCTTCTCTTTTTGCTGAGGAAGACTGGCTCTGAGCTAACATCTATTGCCAATCCTCCTCCTTTTTTTTTTCCCCAAAGCCCCAGTAGATAGTTGTACGTCATAGTTGCACATCCTTCTAGTGCTGTATGTAGGACGCGGCCTCAGTATGGCTGGAAAAGCGGTGCGTCGCTGCACACCCGGGATCCGAACCCGGGCCACCAGTAGCAGAGCACACGCACTTAACCGCTAAGCCACAGGGCCGGCCCCCATGCCATTTTAAAGTATGGCTTTCACATCCTATACTTGAGCATTTGGCTTTTGAAAATGTTTTATGTCACTTAGTAGCATTCAGCACTTTGATTCAGATGACCAAATCTCTTAAAGAAGTTGAGGAAGTATTTGTATATAAGATGCTATTCATTGCAAATAACAGATAATAGAAAATCCAGCCTAAACTGTCTTTAAAACAGTAACAAAAATAACAAAACAGTAACAAATCTTGTTTTCAAATTGATTAAGCAACACATAACCTTTTTAAGCAGTGTGACTAAGATACAATCACCGTCTCTACTTCTCAGCTCTGATTTATCAATTTGGCTCCATTCTGAGAAAGCTCCGCCCTTGTGATCCTATGTAGTGTGAAAGAGCATATCTCCTTCCCCAACCATATATGAAGTCCAGGTTTCCAGTCTCATAGGACCATCTTAGTTTGCATGCCCATTCTCAATTCAGTCATCATGGCCAGAGAGGAAGGTATCATGCTCATTAGTTAGGCCTGAGACACATAGCTGGCCCTGAAAGCCAGGAACTGGGAGAAAGTTGACTTCCCTGGAAGCATATGGACTGCAAGGTGCAGGAGTGGAATGATCAAGAAAATTGCCATTGGATACTGGCAGCCAGAAACACCAAGGGAATGTAGATTCAAATCAGTACCTTCTTCCCCTACTCCATACATTTCTCTGTAGCAAGTAAAGTATTTCAAAAAGGAACTAGAGTCATTCTTAACACTGAAGCCCCCAGTAAACTTTGTTGGGACTTCAGGTGCTGTGTCTCTTCACTCTGGTTGTCTTATTCCTTCAGATGTCTGCTCTCCACCTCAGCATTATGGAGTTCAGCCTGGTAGGGTGGTGGTATATGGAAGACGGAGCAAGGGAAAAAGTTATACTCACATTGTAGCAACTACTACCAACTGTACTTCAGACGACTTCAATGAATGTGTCTGAAGTACCAAAGATGGCTGTGTTGACTGAAATAACGACCTGTATCCAGTAAAGCTGAGCAGCCCCTGAAGAAGCCATCACCAGCTTATTCACCAGGTGCTGTGAGGTCTACAGGCCTTAATAGGACTAGTCCAAATTCCAGGTAGCAAAGGTAGATGATAAATGTGGGCATGGGATGATCTGGACATCAAAGGACTAAACCAGATTACCCACGTGGTCAGCCTGCATATGTATATGTTTGTGATGGCAAAGGCCCATATAAAAATACTGCTTTGCATTCTCTAGATTAGGCCCTTTAATATGTTGCCTTATTTAACTCTCTCAGCACTGCAAAAGAACAGAGCAAGGCTCAGAGAAGTTAAGTAACATTCTCAAAATCACACAGCTACTAAGGCATTAAATGGTAGGATTAGGATTTAAAACCAGATCTGACCTAATTTACAGCACTCTCTCCCCACTTTATCACTGGTTCACAAACCTAACCCTAAATCAGAATCACTGGTGAAACTTTTTAAAAATCAAATTCCCAGGTCCCACCACAGACCTAATAAACCAGAAGCTGTAGGGGTGGGGCCTAGAAATATATATGT